ATACTAAGCATAAGAAACCAATCCGCCTTATTTAAGGCGTGTATATACACCCAAGTTGAGGGGGTCCAAATTCGACAGATTGACCGTGATAGCACTAACAAAATGTTCTAGTGAGGACAAACACTTGTACTTGACTGGGCAAGTCAAATACAGGATTGCCTTTTTGCCTGTTTCAATTACAGTTTATTTGTTAAATCAAAGAAAGTTTTACGAAATAGATGTATATCCTACTGAAGGCCACTGCTCTTCACCTTTTGGTTCAGCAAACCTGTTACCTAAAGACTATACTGCAGATTGGCTTGTGATGTTCAGTCCTACAAATACCTCTTCCCTCGCAACCTGGTACTTCCACGCAGAAGAGGGCTAACACCCACACAGCACTGCACCTCTCTGCTTTCATATAAAGAAGAGGAACTGCTCGTAAGCAGTTTCTGTTTCAAAAACCAAGTACCAGATCCTAGTGAGGCTGAGGATTGTAGGGGGAGGGAACTGATAACTCCTGACTTCATCGTGACCCTTCCTACGAATGTGAAGAGAACCGCATTTTGGCAGGAAAAAAAATGCATGCATGTGGGGAATGATAAAACCCTGTAGTAGCTCAGACTAAATAGTGTAGGAGAATCCAGGCCTGCAAACCAAACCATATGTTACTCAGCAAGACTCTTATCCCGCTTAGACAAGATGGTATCACAGTCATGCAAATGCCTCTTGGTGAACCAGGATTATTTTCATACCCAGATCCTTAGGGAGCTTGACCCAGCAGCAGAGAGCTTTGAAAACAATATCCAGAATTCCCCAATCTATGGCCTCATTTCTCTGGAATTCCAACAAATCCCATCACCCAGCCCCAGATCTCTGCCCAGCTCACACAGTTTACCTGCCACGAGCGTCTCCCCTGCTCGCCCTCACCCATCCTCCCAGCAGCTCGGCCACTTTCTCTGTTCCTCCCACACACAGCACAAGGGCAAGGGAGAACCTTCTGTGATCAATAGATAAAGGTTTACTGAGAAAAAAATAGAATCCTCTCAAATACAAATAAGCTGAAACAAAAAAGTGAGCCTGGACAGTACAACAAAACAGAGTTTGCATAATCCAGAAACACATACCCATTAAATAAAACACCTCCTGGGTTATTTTTTAATTCTTGATTTGTGACAACAATTCCAAAGCCCCAAACCAGCTTTAAAAACGTAGAAACTAAAAATCTGCCGCAGCCTTAGAGACCAAGGAGAAGCTAACTGATAAATGAAGAAATCCTCACTGTTGATGAGCAAGTCTTCAGGGACTCATCCTGCCTTGGCAAGCCAATACAAACATTTAGGGAAATGACCAGGGAGATCATCAAAACAGAAATACAGATTTCTTTTAACACTTACAGTAGTTATATTTTCCTCTGTGAAAATACAAAAGCAGAAAGCCCTTCAATGAGAAACTCCTGTTAATAAGAAAAGTACTTGGGAGAATTGAAAGTAGTGGAATTTCTGCTTAGGGGTTGAAATAGGATTGACACTTTCAAATACATACTGTTTTTCAAAAATTATTCCCACTTTTAAAAGCAAAATGCCGTTTTTGCTAAGCAAATGTAGAAAACCAAAATAAACTGATAAAACCCTATCTGACAAGCATGCAAGACAGATTTTTTTTTTTCCCTCTGTGAAAACAATAGCTTTGGAGAAGGTCCATATTGCATCATTTAATGATAAATAACCAAACTGAGGGCAGCGGTTGGCACTGCTGTCACACACAATGAAATAACACTCTCCCCCTGAAGAACCATTTCCAACTGACACAGCTGAGCTCACACCAAACCCTAGGTATTTTTTATGCCGTTAACTTATCTCTGAGTCATTATGACGCTTTTATATTCAGGCAGAAATCTAGCAAATTCTTTTATCTAAGCAGCTGATACATGTGTCTCTCTGGTTAAGTATATAAAATTTGAAAAGACTTTGTTTTCCAGAAAGCTACATGGATTTTTAGCCACAGAGATGTGTGAACTGAGCTGAGGGCATCTCATTGCTCTTTCTGATACACTCAGAGTCAAAAGTCCCTCTTCTTCCCAGTGATTTCCAAGCAAATGAGTAAAATCAAAATTACAAAACAAACAAACAAACAAAACCTCACAAAAGTGGCAGAGAAAGTAGGAAAAAAAAGAATTAACATTTTTGCTCATAAACACCAGTCAAATATTTTTCAGATCGAGCAAAGTTCACGACCTGAAGATTTTTTAAAACCTTGCACTTGAGAGGAAGATGGCTAGAGCATTACAACTCAGTAGCATTTTTAACCAAGGAGATTCATAAACCATGAAACAAGGGTTCAGAAAAAACTAACGCTGTTCCAAATCCCAAGACAAAGCTCCATCCGAACCCTGTGTGATTGTGCAGCTAAAATTCCAACACTTACCCACACTGAAGAACTGTTTTTAAGGAACATGCATTACTCTGGCAGTGATAATACTCTGGACGGGCTGTAGAAACAATCTGCATCAATTCTCCACAACCTATTCATGGTGCAGATGGACCCGAACTAAACCCTCAGATCCGACCCCCCTGACCAGAGCCTGGATCCAACCCCCGCAGATGGTCCCTATTCTGAACACAGTGAACCACAGCCTCAGATGCCAGCAGCCCTCCACCTCGCAGGGCTGAGACCTGAGGAGGGGGTGGTGGATTTGGTGGGTTCAGGGGTCTATCCTGAAGACCTGCTGCAAGAAAATCAACACATATTAAACTCCAGCTTCAAAAGAAACAGGTCCTTCAGGAGAGGATGGTATGTGGGAATGGAGGCTCTTTTGGCAAGTGATGGCCTGTGGCAAAGCCAAAGTCCTGCTACTTGTTCAACAGGTTTGTTGCTCATGGTATTGCCCTCTCCAGAAACACTCGTTAGCCACAAGCAACTGTAAAATATATTTCATACGATGCTGTGGTGTGCATTTTAAATCTGACATTTGCTTTTGTTCCTCACTCAAAAGCATCAGCAAACTGTCCAATTTCTGATCTAGCACCTCCCCTACTTTTTCTTTATTAGTCTTTTTTTCTATTTTGGGGTGATTTTTGGATGATTGACTATGAAACTCCTTCCCCTCAGTCTTCAAAATTCTTCCTGAAAAATACCTCCCTGTATCTAGTACCTAGTTACTGCATAATAGTCACTTTAGAAAACATTATAAATACACAATTAAATAGGATTCTATTTCAAAGTCCATTAAGTCAGTAAAAGTTTTTCCATTGACTCCAGTGAGCTGTGGGATCAGGCCTCAAATACTTAAAATACTTTTTTTTCCCCCATCTATAGGCTGCTAATACAGAACATATTCCAATTTTCACATTTCTCCTCTAACACCCCTGCCTTGATTTCCTTACCCTGAGACAAACACTGCTGTGCTATGATATATTTTATTCTCCCACCAGTCTCCTAGGTACCAGATTAAATCCCACCCCTACTGCAATTTGGTTTAATGTTTGTTTATTCCCTTTTCCAAAGCTTTCCTCAGAAGAATGTGCTGGCTTAGTTGTTTGGTAAAAGTTTTTTAAACTCTTTATCTACTTTCTGTTACCTGTCTGCGCAGAGGGATTCGCTTTGTCAGCTTATGGACAGCGGGCTGGCTGCTGAAATCGGGTTTCTTGGTGGTGTTCTTCATGCGGCACAGGATGACTGTCAGCACCATGCAGGCAATTAAGAAGACCCCTATGCAGTAAATTGCTATTTCCAAGTAGTCTGGAGATGTCGGATATTCTTTTTCTTTTTCAGGAGCTGGATTGGAAGTTTTTAGGAGGGAACAATCATGTCACAGAGTTAGCACACAGTGCAAGCGTAATTCAGTACAGTGCTTGGCATAACATGAAATGGTACAGTATCAGCAATTCTCGCAGTGACTGCGGGACAGACAGAATACTGTGGATGTTTAGGCCATCTAGCAATCTGAGAGTCATTCTTCTTTCTAGATCACTGCTTGGACTTCTCAGTTTGCCACCAAGAGTGAGCTCGTGCAGCTATGTATACATATATAGGCATACACATGTGTCTGCCTGCACAGGCAGATACACACACACTGAGATATTGGATGATCAAGCATAATTTTACACGAAAAAAATGAAGTGTTTAAACTAGGCTCAGGTTCATTTTGTCACTCAAGTCGAACTTCAAAAACACCGTAATTCTTTTTAGCCACATAAAGATACATCTAAAGATTAAATATTAAATTAGCTACCCCAAATAAAAGTGTCTAAATTTGCAAATAAATGTTTGGGCTTGAGTCTCCATTGTCTGTTTATCCAAAATTTTCATTGGGATCTCAAAATACAGAGGGAAGGCAGGATGAATTGGTCCCTCATCATGTTTCTAAACTGTGGTTAGGGATTTCAAGAGTGTTTTGAGGACCCGGCTGCCCAGCTGCTTAACTCGCTGCGGTTCACGCCGGGTGCCTAACTCCCCAGAGGTCCTTTGAGGAGCCCAGTGTCAGATTAAAAAGCACAGAGGCAAGCAAAAGCTCAATTGCTAGCAATATGTTAATTAACAAGTCCTCTTTTGTGAGGACTGCATATTTCAAGTAACCTCATCAGTGGTTGCTAGTCTGAGATTAGATTTAGGTGGGAGTGGTTCCACATAGCTGTTGCTCTGATTGAAACCATTTTGAAATTATCTTCAAGACAGTTGTATGTGCAAACACTGTCCCTAATCCCTTATCTGGGATTCAAGCCCCGGATAAACAGCATTCCACAGCAATCAGCGGTCACTCTGCAAGCAGTGAATGTTCAAGCTGAAATTTTCTTGTGCCTCATTCTAGGCTCACAAAAAAACTTTCATTCAAGAAAAATCGGTTAAAAAACGCTGTTCAGGCACTTGCACGATGCAAACGCTGCTAGCAGAAGCAAACTCTACACAAGTGCTGCTTTGCCTTCTTGGTGACAAGACCACGCGGGCTCGGTGTTCACATAGGCGTGAGGTGTAATAAAGTTGCCTTGTTCAACGTATTTTAATAAAGGGTGAGACATTATCTGCAGAAAGTGACAACATTTCACTCCCCGTAATATGAACCTCAGCAACGCGCACATGCAGGTTGGGTGCCTTTCGCTTAGGATTAACAATTAATAAATGGTAAGCACAAGATGACCCAGCGAACCTCAGGTGGTTCATGTTTTTTTCAAAAGAACTCCTAAGGCAGCTGCCAACAGTTATAAATTAGAAAATTTGACTAGTGTCAAAACCAACTACAGTTACATCTTCTAACAGCTGATAACAGTTTTCAGGCAATAAAGCACATTGATGTTTGTTTCTTTAAAGGACAGAAACATCATCAACCCCAGAACAGCAAGACATGCTTTGCAGTAAAAGCAAATGACTACTTGTTTTCTTAGAGCATGCAATGTTTAAAGATGCACGGACCCGATTCCCAAGATATGGAAGGCACTGCTTCTGTACACGATCCACTGGCATTCAAGTCAGAATTTCCATAAGAGATTTGGATGATAGGTAAAAGTAAATTTAAGCATACTACATGGCTCAAGTATTTTGACAAACCAGTATATGAATTATGGCCAAATTAGTCCCAAAGCTTCATACGAAACTTTGAATTTCCTCCTCTTGAAAAAATTTACAGTGATTAATGTGCTGATTTTCAGTTATCTCACTGAAGTGCTAAGGAACTGCAGCTCCTTAGCATTTCTGAGGAACATTTAACAGATGTAAAAATATTTCAATTATGTGCAATAGCCATTCCCCCCCTTTTTTTGTTGTCATTAGGATTTTGGAGTTACAAGACAATTCGTTGACTTGAGATAACTCTGTTCCAAAAAAAAAAAAAAATCACTGTAAATGTCCTTTTCTGAGACAGAAGCTGTGCTAATTCTGCAGCAACCATCAAGGGGGAAAAAAAAAAAGAGGAAAAACCACAGAAAGAGAGCAGTGTATACCTGGCAGAACTGTCAACCATGCAGTGTGAAAGGATATCCCAATAGAATTACCCGCCAAGCATGTATACTCCCCAGCATCCTCAAAAGTTACATTCCGTATATAGAGAACCTCAATTTCTTTGTCCGTGGTGTTAACACCGGCAGCCTAAAAGAAAAAAACAAGAGGGAAGCAAGAGAAAAAGCTAGACATTGAAAGAATTCTTGTGGATAGGGAGATGGAGCCACAGAGCTTTGCGCTTTGTAAAGGCAGAGGCGGAGAGATGCAAAGCTCCTTCCCCATCCACAATCCCTCATCCAAAAGGCGTTTACCAACAGGTCCCAGCTCACCTCAGAAAGTAATCAACACCCTTCACCAGACCTAAACTCACCACCTAAACATGCATGCAATCAAATGACATGGAAAAATTAACCCACAAAGCTGCTTTTTTTTTTTCTTTCGTCTTTTTTAATAAAAGGAAGTTGAAAGAAAAACAAAGAGAACACAAAGTAGGACAGAATGCGGGCTCCTTCACATGTGGTTACCTGTTTCAGGGGAAAGAATTTACCATAAAAACATACACTGAAAGGATAAAAGAAAAGGCAAATCCTGCTCCAAAAGTCACAACTTCGTAGCTGTCTTAAGCAGCGTATGGTCCTTGCATCACCCACTGCAATACACTTAAATTGTGCACGTTGAGCAGTGTTGCCAAATCTCTGTTTAACCTGAGGTCTGGTAAGATTTGGTAGTTTGCTTAGAAGTGCAGTGGAGAAAGCAGGAAGGTAGCTCAGGTCTTGGGTTTCAGAGTCACAGGTTTCAGAGATTTGAAAAAAAATTGGACTCCAAAGGTTCAAAAACCACAAGATAACATAAAATATATTTTTCTAAATATTAGAGAGTTTAAAAAAATAATAATCCAGAAGGTGGGTTTTTTTTTCTGGTCTCCTTCCATACTTGCTAAATCTCTGGCTTGACAAGTCATTATGCAACAAACCAATCAGTGTACCAGTGATTACCCAAGCTCGTACAAATAGAGTAAATCTTAGATCTGGACCTTTCCAGCTGTCCCCAGATAGGCAGAGCAGGGCACCAGTGTCAACGTCTCTGTGGTGGAGACTTAGAGAAATTACTGTTTGCCGCTTTTTCACTCTGTTCCATTCAAAATCGTTACCTTGATGAGGGAATAAACACATTTTTACCAGACCATTTTAAAGGAAATTTAGCTATGAATTGTAGTTGCGTTGTTGCCAGTCTTTATGGCTACTGATGGGTTATTACCAAGTTACTAACAAGGTGAATAACAACTGGAAAATCCTCCTGCATAGTCACAGGTGACATGGAAGTTATAAGTTACTTGAGTTATGCCTGAGTGGGTACTTATGTGAATATTTCAGTGAGGAGATATATATAAATATACACTATTTAGGCTGTAATTACGTTATTCAGTGAGTACCCTATAAGTGAACTGTGAAGTATACAGAATTAACAAAACTGGACATAAACACACAGACACAAAGATACCAAACAAAAGAGTGAGAATAAAGCCCAGTGTTAGAAAACAGTGCTTAATGGTACACACAGAATATTGTGGGAATTTTTCCATGGCTGCTGGTGTAATACCAGTTGCATCACCAAAGGAGGATTACACATATACCACAAGGCCAAAGAGTTATCCTACAAGCTGCCTGCAGTCTCCCAAAGCACCATTTTTTCCAGCGTCTACATCCAGCTTGCTTTAAAAAACAGTGTTACCTTGTATACTCGGCAGAACAGAGAGCCAGGCAGACTGGTTGGCCTCCCCTATATAATTGGAGACCTTACAAATATATTCTCCAGCGTCCGCCTCTGTCACATTGTACAGTGTCAGCACTTCAGCATTGGAACTATTTATCCCCGAATGCTAGAATAGACCAATAACACAGGAGAACAACGTCACTGCTGCCCAAGACGGACACCGATCTCTCTACGGTCCCACCACCAACACGTCATAAGATTATGCCTTCCACTTCATACAGGCATCAGCGTCAAAACATTCAGGGTTTGGGGTTCGTTTGGGGTTTTTTTTTAAATCCGAAGCATCACACGAGGAGTTAGAAAACAGCGGCATCGGGGGAAAAAGCACTTGGGCTGGTACGGTGGGATAAGATGGTACAGAGCTGGCTGTCCTGCCCGCCAACACGCCGAGTTTGGCAATGCCACCCAGCTCAGAAAACACTGGAGTTTCCTTGGTCTGGTTCGCCTGCCAGC